AGAATAGTGTTTTTATTCAATGATCTTATACAGCGTCTTGCGTACCTACACGATTTATTTTTATTCTGTAGAGTACTTCACCACATACAGCTGATATCTTCGATTTAATGTATTCAATAACGGACGATTTTATTATTTTTTCAGCACGCAGACTGAAGACTATGTAGACAATAAAAACCAAACATAATTTACGATGTTTTTCTTAAAGATTCAGACGGCTAATTTTACCTAACCAGGATAACGGTACCCCATAGATGATACTTTTGCAGAAGACGATGTTTAAGAGTTTTAACACAAAGGTTTGTTTGACGTTACAGAGTGTGACGAGAAATTGAAACGTTTTTTATATTATCCCGAACAGGAGACATTTTCACTATGTAAGAATTTTGCGCTTTTTACGACTACAATGATGGACTTCAATCCCCTCTTTGGTTTCACGAGCAGCAAACAACACTATACTGAATGTTAACAAATGCTATCTATGTTACCGAAACTATACTGTCGTGCTTAATTAGTTTTTCCTTGACCGCGACTCCTTTATGCGACGGAAACACGATTACGCAACAATCACGTTAACTGTTTATTACTTGTTCTTTTTTATCGCGATAATCTGTATTTTTCTCCGTGGATGAAACTGGCACGTTAGAGTTAATTCACTTCAAAGTTTTTTCTGTTTTAACTATGACTAACGAAACTTGCGTTGTTAAATTTGATGGCCAATAAAAACCAAAATACCCCTAATCACCACTAGGTCTTTTTTTATCCCAAACATCTCTGCACGCGAGTTAATTTTTTCTTATTACGTACTGTTTGCTCTAGTAACTCAAAACCCGAACTACTCTCCCATTTAGTGTTTGGGACAATTATTAACTATATCGTTGCACAAGACCGAATGAATCCCAAAATCTCCCCGTAAGGACCACTATCCCTTCTCAATAACTACCACCGGCAAAATCGATTCTTAATGAAACATAGTCATCTTTACTCGTTGATTCGTTTTCTTCGTTTTTGCGCTTCGAATTAAATAAAAGCTAGGTAACAAATCAAATGCCATATACTGTTTAAAAATTCCAATTCTGCATTTCTCACAGTGCCGAATGACCTCACGCTTATGCAGTGGTTTGGAGTGGTAAGGGTCAGTTAAGCGGCATTCCGTCTCCGGAACCTATTCAACCTCTTCAATTGTTGTGTATCGATCAGATTCATCGTATTATCAAAACAATATTAAATGTTTTTCTAAAGTAAATTTAATATCCATCGCTTCCACAAGTAGGCGTATTATTGACAGTAGTAGGCGTAGGCGTCCATCCCTTATTAGAAGTTATCGATCTTTCAACAAACTGCAGTAATCTACCGACTAATTATGATCTAAATCAGATAACGCATATGGTTTGGACGAGCATATAACGCTCCCAATTTTCCACGGCTACGGGAATCGGGGTTGGAAAATTGAGAGTGCACAAGTGCTGGTTCGGGTAGCTCAATTCGCAGCAGGGTTCGGTAGTAAAACCAGTTGAAAGCGGAGATCGCTTAATACATATATTGTTCTTCAATAAAAATAAAATAAAATAAGTTAAATCACAATGTAAATAAAGGTACGCCTCTGTGGACTGCCTCTGCACGTCACTGGATCTGACCGAAGTTGAACGGTCAGTGCGACACTTCCAGTGGATGCTGGACACTGGGGTTTCCGCTTCGGTTTGTTATATTCCTTTAACAATCGGAAGGATAATTAACACATAAATAAATTAAGAGTAATTAAGTGAATGTTTAAACAATAGGTGAGTGACCTTATTGATTATTATATAATATTATGGGGGATTCTACCTATATAGAATTCCCATACAAAAAAAAATGAAACGGGTTCTAAACAAAATTGACTGGACGTAATAAAATGAAATGGGGTTCTTTAATTAACTCAACAAAAAGTATCTGGATAGGGATTAGTACTAAAGCAGGATGGTTCTCAGGACTTAGGTACAAAGTACCGCCCTAAGATACCAAGACTTGGGGGAAGGTTTAGGATAACAGGTGTGAAAGTTGACCAGGTACACAGTACCAGCCGTGAGCATCTGGAAGTAGTTATCGGGAGTCAGACCGTAGGTGCAAAGCACCGGCCTAAGCTTCTGGATCAGGTAAGATATAACAGGGTTCGAAATTTAGGCCTTTGGTACAAAGCACCGGCCTAAGCTTCAGGAAGAGCAGGAGATCGGGAGGGTGGTTCTGGTAAAAGGTTTTGAGCTATAGGAAGGTGATCTCAATCAGTCCTCTCACCGACGGGACACTCGCTTTTATATTCAACGGCTGGTTACGTTTGGGGGAATATTTGGAAATGGTAATCGGGAAGGGACTAACGGGAAGTGGTATTTGATATGATCGGAAAGGTAGGTGGCGGCATCTCACGGAACTTCATGAAAATAGTTTTCATCATTTCTTCCTAAAATGATTATAAAAAGTATCATAGTTGGATTCCTTACAAGCAAAGAATCCGCTTACCACAAATATAATTCTTGCTGAAACCAAAATTCCTTTCATTAAAGAGAGAGTCAAGTTCCTGCTCAAAGTCTGCCTAGCAAAAATCATTTCAAACGACAGTCTACTTACAAATAAATTACTTGAGAACTTAATCAGAACAAAAAAATTGAACGACCAAAAACCTACAGACAAGCAATTAAAATTTAGTAACAGTTTATTTATTCAAACCGCCCTAAATGCCTGCAACCTTAAGGACATCCTTTACCGAGGGTCACATTTTAGTAATTATACTATCAATTACAAAGCCTTAACCAGTCCAATCGATGTGGACTTCTCCTTTGGACAAGACCTAAAAAACTTACCAAATCCCAATACGTATTTTGAGAACAAAATAAAAAGCCAGAACGCTTCTGCTACTTACACAGATGGCAGCAAATCAAAAAATTCCACAGGTGCGGCATTCATATGCACAACGTTAAACATTCTTTCAATGAGCAGCCTTGATAAGAAATCTTCTATCTATACAGCCGAAGCGTATGCTTTGCTTCAAGCAATCAGAACAGCTGTTGCATACCCTAACGATAACTTTAACATATACTCCGACTCCAAAAGTTCTCTTGAAGCTATCTCCAACAATAATTCTTCCATAAAAATTAATCCTTACATTCTTACAGCCAAAGAGTTACTATATAATGATACCGTAGCCAATAAAGACAAAAGAAAAATAAAGCTCTTTTGGATTCCTGCCTATAAAGGTATTACTGGTAACGAATCTGTTGACCTTCTTGCCAAGAATGCATCAAACAATGCCCCAGATTCATCGGTAAAAATTCCGTTTACTGATTCCAAAGAACACTTCAAAAGGGAATCAATTGAAAACACTTTTGACATGCTCGTCAAACAAGGGCAAACAAAAAGCAAACACTATTTTATAAACTATTTTAATAGCAAAAGACATCCTTGGTTTGATAATAAAAAACTTACGAGAAAAAATATTGTCACAATAAATAGGTGCAGATCAGATCATTATAATCTTGCGTCATCTCTCTACAAAATGGGAATGGTACCAAATACCAACTGCGAATGTGGTCATGAACTCCAAGATATCAATCACATTCTATGGCAATGCCCAAGTTATGATCATCTCCGAAAGGATTTCACTGAAAAACTTAAAAAATCTTGGAATTCATTTACCTACTCGCGTTGAGGCAATTTTGCACAATACTACTACCTCCATTTGTAATGTTATATGTACATTTCTAAATAATTGCAAGTTAAATATTTAACCTTATACTTATATACATTTTTTTATGTTTCAATGTGACAGATGTAGCATTATAATCTGTAAAGGTTTAAATTGCAAATAATAAAAAAAAATCCGCTTACAATTTCTGTATATTTAAATGAAGTACATACATACATTTTCGAATAAGGATAAAGGTGGCATATTTAATCGGAGTTACTCTTAATTATAATTGTTTAAACAAGACAAATTCGGGTTACGAAAATAAATGAGTCGAAACCCAGCGTCATCTGTAATTGTCGTGTTTTGCAGCTTAAGCTCCCATATAAATTAATTGGGTTAAACAAAAAGGACAATTTATGAGCACAATAGTTGCTACACATAATCTCACCTATACTAGTAGATCGTGATAGCATTTTCGCATCTCGACCTTTCTGGTGGATATCTTTAGAATTTACTCCACTTAATTATCAAGTAATGAAAAGATAAGGCGACACTAACCCCTTCATCACAATTAGAATAAATGTATACAGACTTTTCGCGAAACAGCGAGGTAATGAATAAAGATCTTTCGAGCGCTTACGTTATTTGCCGTTTAGTAGCTACATTAGCTACCTACTACGATCTGTAATCTGAAGCAAAGACTGGTCTATTTACCATAAGCTTCACTTTATTAAAATAAAAGCACTCCACGTTTCCAAAGCTAACAATAAAACAATCGACCCACGCTTTTCGAGTACATGCTTATATGAAATAGTTTTCAAGAGACGTGATGTTAAACACTCTCCTTGCACCGGACCTTTTTTGGTTAATTATTTCCATTACAATATTAATTATGCAAAAGAAATGTTTGCTCATTATAATAAAAGGCGTCAGAGTTACAGAATATCTGCAATGATAAAGCATAAATTTCTAATTAAAATTTACCTTGTAAGTATTCGATATAAACCGATAGCCTTAGTGGAGATTGATGAAGGCGGAAATTATGAATAAGGAGTAGCAATACGAATGTAAATTTTGGTAAATTTCATCCATGCAATACACCGTTACTAAGCGGGAGAATAAATGAAATGCTGTTTAATCGACCATAATAAATAATATGGAGAATACGATTTTCAATATTTCACTCTTGCTCCAAAGGCGATCCTTGGAGATTGCTTATAACAGGCTTTTAAGAATAATGAAATTTATGTTAAGTATATATTTGGAGGATAATCCGAAATGCATTCTCACCCCGTACAAAGATGCTTCACGTAATAACTAAGAAATATAATCCGCTTACCTCCGAGTGCTGCAAATGCACAGCTTGAAATCTATCGTCGCTGCTGTACGTTGTAAGACCGACTGTAAGTAGATGATAATCCTTCCTTCTTATCCATGATACCTGAAAAGAAAATAAAATTGGTTAAGACTTGTTGCGCGCTTATTTGGGATTTCTGTGGGCGATGACAGAATCGAATTCGTAGAGGGAAGACTACACTTTTTAACAAAACACGTTTCAACAGAAAGTTCCAGTTTCCGTGAAATGGAATATTGATCGTACAGAGTTGTTTACTTGAATTAATTGGCAATCGTACACCAATTATCTACATTGCTGGAAGTCGGGATTATATTGTACGTTATTTGTTTTGAATGTAACATTTTAAATCTATAATGGTACACTCACTTTCTAAAATCACTTATCCAACAATAATTCTTTATACGAATAAATTTTATTTTATTTTACCAACAAGCAACTTAATTGTACACAATTTCAGTTTCTACTGCAAAAAAATTCAAGAATACTGCGGTTAATTAAACAAATGGGGAAGGTTTAGAATTCCTAACACATCTTGCTCCATTTTTAGCGCATTTCCACAAAAATAAAAAAAATGCGCTATTGTGGCCACTTTGTCCGTCCGTCCGTCCGTCCGTCCGTCCGTCCGCTCGTTTTGCGACGCTACTAGTTCTTTATCTTAAGAGCTATTGTTCTACTTTTTTCGTTATTTGGTTCGTTATGGTGTCGAGTCTTGTACCAAGGAAGGAATTTTTTCTGTACCGCTTACAAAAGAAGTTATTGTAAAAAAAAACAAAAAACCGTTTTTTACATGTTCCATAATTTTACACTTTTGCCGTTTATTAACGATCCTAGAGATCGTTTATAATTTTGCATTGCTATCTGTCGTCTGCCTGTTGGTCTGTCCGTCTGTTCCTTTGTCTGTCTGTCCATCTATCTGTCCGTGTGAACGATAACTTTGTTTAGAAATGTTCGATCACTTTTACATCTCCGTTAGTTATGAACTGAATTGCATGAAATTCAATATGGGCATAGCTTTAGCCATATAATACGCAACGCCAAAAGTTGAATCGAATCGATTCAAAATTCACAGTGCCCTTTTCGCATCTCGACCATTTATAAACCGAATTGCAAAATTTTTACTTATAAAAGCATTTGAATGAAATTTCATACATAGGCACTTGGAATAAAGGAAAATCAACTGCCAATTTCAAAATTTGGTTTTGCGCATGCGCAGTGCCAACTTTTTTATTTATGGAAGAATTTAAACGAAATTTGATACATAGGCACTTGGGATAAAGGAAAATCAAACGCCAATTTCAAAATTTGGTTTTGCGCATGCGCAGTGCCAACTTTTTTATTTATGGAAGAATTTAAACGAAATTTGATACATAGGCACTTGGAATAAAGGAAAATCTAGCGCCAGTTTCAAAATTTTATTTTGCGCATGCGCAATGCCAACTTTTTTATCTATGGAAGCATTTAAGTGAAATTTGATATTTAGGCGCTTGGAACAAAGGAAAATCTAACATTAGTTTCAAAATTTAGGTTTGCGCATGCGCAGTTCCAACTTTCTTATTTAGAAAAGCATTGAAATGAAATTCTTCTCATAAACTGACATTGAAGTAGCACGACAAAAATGGATTGCCCATGTGCAACGCTATCTTTCAATATTTGTGGCCGGATTTTTACGATTTTATAGAAGTTGCATCTTACAAATGGGAAATGAATGCAAGTGGAAATGCGCTTTATGTAAATCGTTTACGATTACTTTTTAACTTGTTAACTGTTTAGACAATTATTTACTATGAACCCAAACCACAATACGCTGCCTTTGTAATGCTTTTACACCATCCAACACGCCTTTTCCAGAAACTTGAGACCCTTTGAAACTGTCTGCGAAATATTCGTAGGAAAACTATCTATAGTTGATCGGCTGGTTCTTGAGACCACTGGTGACTTAACAGCTATAAAGACAGCGGTCCTGAGAACCAGAGAACCATCGAGAATCTGACTTTGTGTGGGATGTTTACGCAAGCACGATTGAATGCTTAAAGAAAGCTCTATTAACATAGCTATAGCTCAGATCTATTTAAAAAATTTCTCATAAATAGGTACAGATCGAATTATAATTTTTAAGCTGGTACTTGTCAAGTTGACGAGAAATTATCAGAGAATTTTTTCAAAATTGATTAGTGAACTAACTACCGGAGCTCAAAAATTGAAAAGCTAAAAAAAAGCTCAAAATAATACAACCTTGAACAACTTCTGGGCTCATACTTGTCCTGCTCACTTGAGGAACGTTGTAAATAAGGTCTATTTGTATTTTATCCCCTCAGTTATTCCCTATTTTAATATTTGAATTTTTGATGTTTTAATGTATTATTGTAATTTTATGGTTTTGTTTTACTTTTTGCATCTTTTTGTGTATTTCTCAAATAAAAATCTTTTGGTGTAAATCAATGGTTTTCTATGCGGAAAATTAAAAAAGCGAGTGACGTCACTAATTTTATAACTTTGGGTTTCCTAGTCCTAAATGAACTTCAAGGAATCGAAAGCATTTTTCTCTCTTCCAGAATAAAGAAAGCCGTGATGAATGACTACATAGGTAAATAGGGATAGCTCAAATGATATACGCGAAAGCAAATCGAGAGTGAAAGCTAAACAAAAAAATGGCGAATCATATTGAAGGAAACAGTTATTTATTTTAGAAATCGGAGGAACGTAGAACCTTAGGTGGAAGTATTATCATCCTTTGTTTATTGCAGGTATGTTAAACTAAAGGTACCTACATATTTTTAAGAAAAAATATGATGGAAAAATAAGGAAGGCTTTACTTTTGAGTAAATCGATCCAATACCTAATGCATCCGTAGACGACTCATCTCTCGATACTATAAATAATTCAATATGCAAACTAAGACGAAATAGCATAAAAATCACCTCAATATTTTATTATTTTTCTGTTCGCTTTCCAATTCTCAACTCGAAGTAATCAAGGTATAAAACGGTTTCAAACAGTTCTGTTAGCAAAATACCGTTTACGAATACTTTTTGCTGAATTCGAAACTTGAAGCGTCAATTGAAAAATAGAATCATACATCCTTATTAAAAACGTGGCTTAAATTCAACTGTACGTTGTACACAGTGACTAAAAGCTTTTCATTACCAAAAGTAAATAACAAGGTCTTGTAAAACTGTGAGAAAAACCACCTTTATTTACTTACACAAGGCATGAAATGTAATATCTTCAACACGTTACCAAAGAACTTGGGAGGTATTCACCAAGGAATTTTTTTACACGTTTATATCGCAATCAAAGTAATAAGGTTTTTTGTTTCCCCTTTATTTTGTTTGAATGTTGCTAATTAGGATTACAAAAGTCGTCGGAGAATTACACGCTTCAGTTTTCCTACGCAATAGTGAGTTGCAAATTAATTAGTACGTGTTTATTGTGCGTAGTTCTTGTAGAGTTGACCGCAGTTTTACCACCCAAGGACCAATAAGAGAAGATGGAGAAAACAATATTTGTTATTCTAACTGTAAGCTTGCAATGCAAACATTAATGGTCCACAGAGCTGCTAATTTACGTAAGCACCTTTACACTTTGATCACACCTTAATTTTGATTTTACTGTTACAAATTATGTAATAAATAACCCTTGAACTTGGTTTCAATCACAGTATGTATGGTTGATTCCGAAAAGGAAAAGTTAATTAGAACTGACACCATTTCAATGTGTTCTTTGCTTGCAAAATACATTACAATTCAGATTTCTTTTTCGATTCTTCGTTTAATGTTTTACTACTGATAGTACAACGGATCGATATTTTTATCTTTGAGAAAGTAAAAATACATAAGTACGACTAACCTTATTTACAGTTTTTCTTCGACGTAGATGATATGGAGTGCTTACGGCTAACCTTGTTACTCGTCAATTGGGATTGATACCAGAGGATTTCTAAAGGGTTGCATACTTAAACTCTTTAGGCGACTAGTCTTGGGGTTGGACTTTGACGATTGATTGGATAACACCGATTTGCTTTCGATGTGAATTCTTTTCCTGATCAGTGGAATTGGGCTCGAAAAGTGCGTTTTGCATGCACACTCAGGTAAACTGAATTTTATTACGATTTGATTCAACTTTGAGAAAATCTCTTAGGTAAGCTTTTACGCCAAACCGCCCTTTTGCGTTAGCGGCTCTAATAATGAACTATTATTATTTGTTTGTTACAAACAGATTTCTTTGTTGTAACTCCCGTGCGTAGCATGAGTTAATTCCACCTCCCTTTTTACATGATATCACTGCACGGATACAAGGTAAAGTTTCCAAAGGAATTTGCACGAATGCGTTTGTTTATAATAGGCGACTGTCTTTTACTGAATGGAATCTGCACGATTGCGGGCTTTTTGAACCCCCCACAAACCACGAGGTCGCCCTGTGTTTACTCAAATAGTTCCTAAGCTCGGTTACCCAAACGCTAATGTATTTGGACCATACTTTGACCGGGTGGACCAACAAAACGCTAATCTGTTTACCAGCTAACGGGCGCCATTAAAATCTTGGTTTCAGCTCGACCGTCAAAATTCTAATGGTTTAATTTCCTGCTTATTTTGCAACGTTGCACAAGTAACTTTACAACGAGCTATTTCCAGCGTGTAATTCAAAACCAAAATCAAACAATGGGACGACAGACACAATTGAAAACAATTAATCCATTCAAACGTGTGAGAAGATTACGAAAGCTCGCTGCTATTACAATCGACAAAATAAAAACTTGAACTTAACATAAGTAATATTTGTTTGGTGGAATGTTCTTGAAACCTTGACTCTTTTTGAACTTGGACATGGAAACTCCAACTATTGTATTTTATCGATTTTCCTTAATACTTCTCAGTTTTATACGAGTACAACGAGGCTCAATCATTTAAAGAAATGAAATTTGGGTTTGGGGGCTGACGAAGTGTCACGGCCATCTGAATCAGGCTTTAGCCGTATTAAAAAAGAATGTGTTGTTAAAGAAGTGCATAAAGAATGTCTGGGAATTAGAGTTCTTGGGACACCAACTATCTCAGAATGGAACCAACGGTATGCGGACATAAACAGGATAAAGACAAAATATTCCACCACTGTGTTTCAATGATATACATTCACACAAACTACCTATTTAGAGGGGGGTTCCTCCAGGAATTATTCTTAGACACTTTCTTTTCCCAATCTATGTGAATGACTTCGCAGGTTATGTCTCATTATATAATGACTGCATTTTATATGCATACGATCTTTCAGCGATACAAAGATGTGCACCAGTTAGACGTGAAGTTCAAGTATGCAATTACATATATTGCAAATAACTGCTGCACAGCAATTAATGAACTAAACATAAAAAATCCAACAATTAATCCTCTCCCTGAGAACACATAATCGTTTCACACCCCAGCAAGTTTAAGTACTGTGATGGAACCGACGCGACTCTATGGGCGCTAAATTCAATTTAATTTGTTTACGGGATTTTATGCTTTTTACAAAATTTACCGTTACCGCTGTTAATAGGTAAACGAGGGCTACCCTATTCCCTACAACTTGTTTTCTTTATTCCGCACAACCCCCAATAAAATTTTTTTCATAGACAAACTCGCTTTCACTTGACAGATTTACGTGTTTCTGTTTATATTTAGGTACAGTATTGGAATTGTTTATTTATAATAAAATTTCTTGCAGAATTTCATTTCTTTTGCAAGTCCAATGTGTTACTCTTTTGATATTTGATATTAATATTTATTGATATTTGATCATTGTTTTAATTATCAGGTCATTTCAGGCAATTAATTTTGCTATACAGTGCTTGTCCCTTTTAAGCTTAAGTATTTTTGTGTTAACTACCTCAAGCGGGCTTTATTTGACTTCGGCACCTGCAGTAACGATGGAGCACCCTGCATGTTAATTTCATTTATTGTTAACGTTAATTCGGGGACAATGTTGATGTTGTACTTTAATATTTGATGTTTGATTTTGTTTAAATAATTGTTTTGTTGTTGTTTAGTTAGGAATTATGTGCGTAGTATTTGTAAAAGTTTATCTCCGTTCGTAGATAAGAAGTTTTCTTATCCCTGCGTAAGCTAAGACAAAGACGTGGTAAATGGAAGGTGGAAAGAAGGAAGTAAATAGAAAGGGAAGTTTGAACATGAAAAACACAAATATAGGATTTTATTTACAGTTAGCATTGGAAAGAGGATTCTACTTACTCCTTCAGAAACAATATTAAAAAGAAATCTGCTGTGAAAGTATCATACACACGGATTATGAATTAATTTTTTTAAACGTATCTTCATTGTAGTGTTAGCATAGCTGCGTGTTTGCCACGGGAAAAATTCGTGGAAACTATAAACTTTGATTAATTATTAATCTCAATCATGCTAAGGAAATTCAAATGTCATAACCTTAATGACTTAACAGGACATCTGTAAATTTAGCTTGCTAAAATGACACTTAATTTAAATTTGTTTGATTAATTCATGTTTACAAGTAGAATAAGTAATCACACTATTCAATGCATTTCCTGGTACAGAGCTATATGTCACTCACGTCCTGATAATGTACAACCGTATCGTACGCACGGCTGTTACTTACAACTGTCCAGAGAACCGTTTACTAACGATAATAAAGTTGGATGGTGTTGGTAACAATTTACGCTCTATAAGGATGAATTTCCGCACAATCTCCTGCCTTAATGGAATTAGATTTGTGGAAGATAAACCTAATCGAGTAAATACCATTATGTAGGTGCCACTTTGTTGGGCGACAGGCGTTACGTTAGTATATGCACCATTTCCTTGCTATAATATGTCAACAAAGGGAACAGTATTAGATATAAAGCCTTCCTTCCTATTTACAATGACTACATTTTTCTTTGAGTGCTGATATACCTAAACTCATTTTGAATGTAATGCGTTTGCGAAAACTTAATAACTTGCGATCGTGATTCCCAGATGACTACACAGCTAAACGTTGCGGTAGTGAAGAGTATTCAGGTTGTTAACCGCTTCATCACCGCTAAAGTTCTTGAGGTGATGAGAAATTGACGTGCACGGTAGGAAATTTAATATCGTCGCGGAACTTCCAAGAGCAAAAGTCATTGCGTGAAGGTTACCCTGGTGTCATTTACCTTACGCTCGGTTTAGTACCGTTCAGTCGACGTTAATTAAATGGGAAATGTTTAAACATTGACTTACACCTTTAATTCACAGTGACACAGATTATTTTTTTCCTGATTTAATGCGTCGAATTTCCAACTGCGTATAGTTACTATTGATCGTCGGATAGCCTGTAATTCTGCTGTCAGTCGGAATTCATTATTCCGCACGGCGACGTTTTGTTTCTTTTAAAAAAGCAAACGATTTAATACCTTTTCTGGTATAAAATTGCTGGAGAAAATCTCGATCAGGTAGTTTCGAGGTTGTGTATGTAAGAAAATAATTTGAGAAAAAGCAATAGGCGTTAATGATTTTGTTATGACTAAGTCAAAAACGAACTTGCTAACGAATTTACCACTGTTGATTGAGGTTGCATCTATCTTTGTCGGAATTCAGTAAAACTTTTCATCGTTATATAGAGACCTCAGTGCAGAGATCTTAACGCTTCAGCACTCCCACGAACAACGTTTGTGTACTTTTCAGTTGAAGTCATACTAAAAGGAATCTCGTTCATATTTATTGCTGTGGATAATGGCACCTGCGTTTGTTACATTTTATTCATTTCAGTTTAAAAATAGGTAATTGTTCAGAGTGCTGATATGATTAATCCGTACGGATCGTCGATGTCAAAATGTAAATGTATTGAACTAAAATGTTTGCGGTTTTTATTTAATTGTTTGAAGCAGCCGGCTGCGAAACATCGGCAATTTGAAATTCTAATGCCTTAATTGAATTTTTAGCGCATTTTTGAAAAAAATACGCTATTATATTCGTCATTGCTGGCAGGCCGGCTGTCCGCGTTAGATCTCCACAACTACAATAGCTAGAGACTTCAAATGTTCACTAAAAGCTTTCTGCTATAGTGTAGATGTGCAGGCACTAGTCTATTTTGAGTTAGATTACTTGTGAGATCGATAATTGAAGAAAATAATTTCGATATTGGTTTCGGAGGTGCTATAATTTTACCGTTAGATAGCGTTACCAGTATAAAAACTTATTATTTACTTTGTGATTTGTTTTACACAATGAAGACGTACGGTCAATTGAAATTAAATAATATTAATTATTTAACGCAGCCAAAATTACTCGTGAGATCGATAATTTTAAACTTCGCTAATAAAATACTGACCTGCATTACCAAAAAATGCGCTTTAATCATGCATATGCTGATTTACAACATTTTTTGTATTTACTGTTGTTTTTATTTTTGTTATTTAACTAATTCATTTACAAGAATATTTTTTCATAAGAAAATGTTGACACATTTTTGTAACTTTTATTAGCCCCTGTATCGGCTAGGCAAATTAGTAGTGATTTAAAACTTAAGGGTTATAATCCACATAAAAATACCTTCAAAATCAGGTATCACTCGACCACCCATTCGATTTAAAATTTTGGGGGCGCTTGTCACCCCCGCTAGGGCTTTGCCCTCAGGGGGGCGAAACTAGCGAAAAAATTGTTCCCCCTTGAATAAAAAATTGACGGGTCCGAGTATTTTTTCGTAGATGTTTTGAGGTCCCCAAAATAGGCTCTGTTTCGTTTTCAAACGGCCACCCGTGTATAAATAAATAATACAGGCCCCAAAATAAAGAACAAGATTGATGTTGAGTAAAATCCTTGCTGTATTGTTAGATTTGTCAGATTTTCAAACAAACTGTCTCTCTTGGAGTAAGACACTGGGGCAGGCGCAATAGATGCAAGGGTCAAAGTGTGTAGGCGTGAATTGAGTACTCAGGGACATCTTCTCTTCTAAGTACAAGTGGCACATTTCAATAGAGCTATATTTTTAGACAGCATTCCTGCATACTATCAATCACACGTAAATTTTTAATATTTTATACGAAGTATAACAAACAAATTAAAATCCCCAAGACTAACACACAAGCCAGTAGTACTGCCCTTACCTGTTAATATATCTAACCTTAGTTGAGTCAAAGTATTTAGCGCAGTGTAATATAGCGAACACAACAGAACAATCTTATGCACTTCTGGACTACCCAGTGCCCTATATGATTTCTGTACATTCGCCCGATTCACACGAGCCTCAATGGCTCGCTTAAAAAAATTCGGATTCGTACGATTCTGTGAAGATGTAGCAGCTTGAGGCGATTCGACGTCTTTTACTAATTCCGCCAATGACTTCCCTAAAAACTACTGTGTAAACGAGCAGATGCTCGTTTTTAATCTTTACCGATTAAAATTGAAACGATCTGCGTATTCCACAAGAGATGCAGCTGTGTTTTGACGTGAGGCATGGCGGCGTGCAATTCGGGATCCATCGACTGAGCGAACCAGCCTAAAACTGGATGCCAGTGTGTTAAATTGGACTGCTTTGTGACGACGTAGTGTTGACAGCTTTCCAGTAGACCTGTGATCACGACCTGCAACGCTATGCAATCGGAAACAGTATCATAATCATTAGTAGCGACTGGATTTCTATGCACTAATTTAACAGTGTACAGACTAAATAGCTGGGAAAATTTCCTGAAATTAAATAATTTTCACTACATTGGGACTAAAAATCACAAATATAATTTGTTTCAAGATAAGCATGTGTTATCGTCGAGCAGATGTTCGTTTTGACGACGCGTAATTAAATTAAGGAAGGGGGAAGGAAAGTGGAAAAAGGTTTTAAATAAGCGAACCGGACGTTAATCGTGGCTTTTTGGTGGTAGACGTTGAAACGTAGCCGTTTGCTTTGATTGTAAAGTTGTGTAGAAGAAAGGTAGAGTGTTTAAAGAATGTGTTTTCACGTTTACGAAAAAGATAAGTTGAAGTGCTGAAGTTATCGAGTGTTAGTCGCTGAATAAACGCCTTTCTTAAAGGTCTTCAAGTTATCAGTTAAAGGGCCTATACTATAATTGTAAATACAACGAAGTCAAACAGGTGCTTATGTGGGACCGTTTCGTTTGGCATTGCACATAGCATTATTATTTGGCGCCCAACGTGGGGCATGTAGCAATATTATGCACTCCCGCAAAATTTACTGTGGGAAGCGAGAAAGCACACAATTGCACAGAAATCCAGTCCCGAGTCATTATAGTGAATTGCTTACCGTAAAACATGGAAAGGCCACTTCTTTTAAAACAGTTTCTCGCTCAATATATGCCAGGTGAATGAGGTTGGCAAGTAGACATAAAGCGTAGTTGCCCTCCAGTGTATTAAAAACGATTCGCATCGATTGTTGACTAGCTAACAGCTCTAAGCTCTTATTAAAAATACTGTAATTAACTAAAACGGTTATGCACTAAAAAACAACACGAGAATCACACATGAAACTTTCGCAAAATACCAAAAACCTCGGGTGTAATCGTCTCAAGGTGTTGCACCAATGCAGGCACTGACAGTATGTGAATCAAAAACATACTCATGAACTTATCCGAGAATTCGGCGGCAACCAAAGGGCGCAGCGACAAAGTTAAAATTGCTGAAAGAGACGCATGCTTAAATGCGACTTTAAGCCGCCCAAGACCCCTTACAAGTAAATTCTGAAAAACATACCTTAATAACTCGCATTGCATCTGCAGATCATTATAGAAAATTGAGAAAATAGAACTTTTTTTAAATCTATTGAGGTAGATCTATTAAAAAATTCCCCAATTTTCGATGACATGCTAACTAACTAATAATATGGCAATTACCTTAAGAACCAAATAGAATCCTTTATGGAATAACTTCCCCATTATATTGGCACATAATTGGTTCATACCTAACTTTAAAACTTCGACGTTTTTCGCTTTTAAAACAACCCACGTGTTTGTATTGGTAAACGAAACTAACATATGTAAATATAATAATACAGTTTTCATATCACTAGCGTACTCAGGCTTTAATTCCTCTAAATAATCACAGCATTTCCAAAGTACGTCATTTGTATAGGAGATCCATTGCATCACATGGTCTTTACTTAGAGCCACGCCGACGTAACTTACTTTCGGCGAGTCCGATTCCAAAGAGGCGATTAGGTAACTGCACAATTTGTCGAATCGATCCCTATCACGTTCCTTGTTGAAAACCAGAAGCAGCAGTTTCACCTGGGTGAAAATTTGAGTGGCAGATATCAGCGCTGATTTCGCATCATTTTCGGGGACTTGAGGTACGATTGCGTCAAAATTTTTTCTGTAATTATACACTTAGCAACAAATTGTGTAAGTATTGATAGTGTTTTCTTACAAAATGTTACGAACAAAGCTTGTACGCGTAAGATATCCTCTTACATTTGATTGAATTATTATCGCAGCGACCTCCTTTCGCTTCTCTAATGCGCGTTCTTCTCGTGCCGCTTTTGTCTGCTCCAGAAAGCTCGATTTTGTGTCTTCTGCCTTGTTGAACATACTCAGTTGGTGGTTGAATATACCTTATTTTAGTACTATTAAGGATCATTGGCTAATATTTGGTTTTCGAGGATATATTTATTAATTTTAATCGGATTAAACGCAAGTAGGCTCTATCACAGAATTTTTGAAGATTTATTAAACTTTAATTAATTTGTTGAGAGAATTGGTTAAAAGATGGATGGAATTGTCATTTTTGACAAAAATGTAAACAAGTACCAGCTGATCAGTCACAATCCGGTGCAACCCTACATAGGGTGTTTTGAAATTACAGGCATATATTTTATACCAGAGGTCGAGCCGAATTATACGCAAAAACGGCAAAGTACGATACTACAATTTTTTTTATAACATTCTTCGTTTCTCACAGAAGTGAAGCAATGGCGAATAATTCATAAATGCTATCAATTACCAATTACAAATCAGTAATTGAACCGCAAAATGTAATCATCCTGTACAACCACGTGCTCTTGTTTGCATGTCATAACCTCAAATTATATTTTGAAACATAACCTCTCTTTATAACTTTTGAAGAATTTTCTATTTCGTAATGGATTTAACAAAATCCTTACCTCAGAAAAAGTATTACCGACAAAGAGCTCATTCAAATCCCATAGCCGATCATTGCTTTGATTAGTAAGTACAATGTGTCCGACACAAAAACATGAAACACCACTTGCAGTCCACGAACTCCAGACGATATGGATTGGTTCAAGTATTATCCAAAGAAGGTGGACAACTCGGAGGTGGAGTTCGCCGATATCGGCTGCGGTTATGGCGGTTTACTGGTAACACTCTCCCCCATGTTTCCGACTACGTTAATGCTAGGAATGGAGATTCGAGTGAAGGTGTCCGATTACGTTATGGATAGAATCGCAGCGTTGCGTGATCAACATCCGGGAGAGTATCAGAATATTGCGTGTTTGCGAACAAATGCCATGAAATATTTACCGAACTATTTTAAAAAAGGCCAGGTGAATTTTTCCGTTTTAAAACTGTGGGATGATCTGTATCATTTTAGTTAAGGAAAATATTTTTTCTGTATCCGGATCCTCACTTCAAAAAGGCTAAGCACAAATGGAGGATAATTAATACTTGTCTGTTGGCGGAGTATGCCTACGTGTTGGCAGTTGGAGGAATTGTGTATACGGTTACCGATGTGAAGGACTTGCACGATTGGATAGTGAAACACTTTACTGAACATCCATTGTTTAACAGAAAACCCCAGGAAGAATTGGTAAGTTGCAATTGGACTTCTCAGTAATTAATATCGTGCAATTTTTACAGAGGTCAGATCCAATTGTGGACAAATTATACAGCAGTAGTGAAGAGGGACAAAAGGTAACTAGAAATAATGGCGACAAATATCTGGCGGTCTTTCAAAGAATTGCAGATCCGTTCAATTCAAATGTTATTGTATAACTAATACTATGATCTTGTGTTGGAAAATGTTCATTTATCTGGAAAAAATTCAGATATTTATTCCTGAAAATCCTAATGTATTGTAGTAAATGTAATATATTTAAATATAGACATAAACTGTATTGTTGGGTGTAATTAATGTAATCAGTATGTCCATGCCTCTTAAAATCATGAATTCCAAATTTCATACTGTTTTGCTAAATGAAGACATTCCATTTAGTGTCAAACAACTTAAGTTATCTTCAAATATTCATTCCACTTTCTTCATTCGTGTACCATATTTTATACTCACACTGGGAGATGATCACATATGTTCTCAAGGGGCACTGGATGGATTATCACCTGCACAGAGGGGCAGTATTCGATTTTGTAAATACTTTTTAGTATTCAAATCCTACTTCGCAAAGTATTTGGATACTTCGTAAAGTATTCGAATACTTCCAAAGGTATTTGAATACTTTGAGAAGTATTCGAATACTTCGCATAGTATTTGAATACTTAACTTCCCAATCAAAAGTTATAGACTAGAAACCAATTTCGAAAGAAAATTCAAAGGGCTGTAACTTTTGAAATAGTAGCCCCATCTTGGAACTATTTGAATTATGGATTCTACAGGCCACATTCTATAAGAAAATTTTTTTTCCGGGTCGATCTGTGACAATTTTTTTTTCGGACCTCAAAAAAAGGCATATAATAACCTTCCTTTTTTTACCAAAAATCGACTGCACCAAAATTTCTCAGGAAAACACTTTTTCTTATTAATTTTGGTGCGTAGAATCCAAAACAATTCGTACTTTTTCGATCAGACTTCTCAATCAAAGTTATAGACTAGAAACCAATTTCGAAAGAAAATTCAAAGGGCTGTAACTTTTGAACTATTAGCCCAATCTTGGAACTGTTTGAAATTATGGATTCTACAGGCCACATTCTATAAGAAAATTTTTTTCCGGGTCGATCTGAGACAATTTTTTTTTCGGGCCTCAAAAAAAAGGCAGTGTATAACCTTCCTTTTTTACCAAAAATCGACTACACCAAAATTTCTCGGGAAAACACTTTTTCTTATTAATTTGTGTGCGTAGAATCCAAATCAATTCGTACTTTTTCGATCAGACTTCTCAATCAAAGGTTATAGACTAGAAACCAATTTGGGAAAAAAAATTCAAAGGGCTGTAACTTTTGAACTAGTAGCCCAATCTTGGAACTGTTTGAAATTATGGATTCTACAGACCACATTCTATAAGAAAATTTTTTTCCGGGTCGATCTGAGACAATTTTTTTTTCGGGGCTCAAAAAAAGGCAGTGTATAACCTTCCTTTTTTACCAAAAATGGACTACACCAAAATTTCTCGGGAAAACACTTTTTCTTATTAATTTTGGTGCGTAGAATCCAAAACAATTCGTGCTTTTTCGATTAGACCTCTCAATATAAAGTTATGTACAAAAAACAAATTTCGAAAAAAAATTCAAAGGGCTGTAACTTCTAGTAGCCCAATCTTCAAATTGTTTGAAATTATGGATTCTACGGGCCAAATTCTATAAGAAAATGTTTTTTCCCGGTCGATATCAGACATTTTTTTTTCCGGCCTCAAAAAAAGGCAGTACTTTTAAGTTATTCAAATATTTGAGAACAATTTAGAAATGTTTAGGGAAAGTTTCCATTGTCACAAAATCAAATATAAAAATCCGATACAAATGTATACCGAACGATCCTGGAGTGAAACTTTTTGATTCGATAGTCTACGTAACTTAAAAACAATAGGGACCTTTCTTATATCCTTAAGACCATGATGTGTACCAATTTTCAAAGCGATGGCACGTTTCTAAACAAACTATCATGCACACGGACCAACGGATGGTCAAAAATGGATCTGTTCCAAAATCGCTAGGATTAATTTCAGAAAGGCGTATGTATCATGTGCACGACGTACGATCGCTTTGAAAACTGGTACACGTATTCTTAAGGATATAACTGGTATAAGAAAGGTCCTGGTAGGTACCTCCTATATAATAATAATATTACGCTTTTACTCCCCTTAAATTTGTATATAACAATAGAAATATAAAAAAAGCTAACCCCCAATCAAAGTATAACATGATTTTTTAAGTAGTATTAAGACTTTTATCTAGTATACTATTTTAAATTTTTAATGTATTTGAGTGAGAAGTATTCGAATACTTTTGAAAGTATTCGAATACATTCTAAAGTATTTGAATACTTATTTTTTAAAGTATTTGAATACTTTTCAATGTATCTGTATCTAGTATCCGCTTGTGCTGGACGTAAAAGTATTTAGTATTCAAATACCTTTGATTTGTGTAAAGTATTTACTATTTAGTATTCAAATACTTTTTGAAAGTATTCTGCCCTGCTCTGCACCCGCACAACATTAGGTTTGTAGGAGTGTTAGATTAGCACTAAATTGTTTAATTAACAAGGCCTAGGTATTCAAAAAACCTTGAGACTCTTTTTACCACAATTGAAAAACTTCAATTATTCATATCTTACACAATGCGTACGTTTTGCCTAGAAAAATTAATTTTTAATACCTTCTATAATTCTCCATTAAAGAAATATCCAAAGGGAATTTTTTCAACATTTTCTCTGTCCGATTGGCATAGGTAGTAGAAGTAATAAATGTTAGGGCAGAAAAAATTGAGTATTGCAAAAAAATAAGACGTGTAATGTATTCTCTAATACAAATTTTTTAACCTAAATAATTTTCAGTAGTCCACAGGTATGATTTATCACAGTTGAGGACACTTGTGATGCGGTAAAATCGGAAGTTCCCCAGAATCATTTGCATTCAGCTTGAAAGTATTCTAAAAAGACATACGTTAAGTACCTTCTCCTACTTTCCGAGCACTCACCAAGGTTCCCAATAGTTCGATAGTTAAACAAGTCTGCTCGTGTAACTGAAAGATGGTCTTATCCAAAGAGGTGAACGATTTCAAGTTAACGGCCGCTAGTTGATCCAAAAGCACTTGCACGTTCATCACCTTCTCTAATACACCACGCCAGGTGGTGACTAATACTATTATACACCTACAGCAGAATTAAAGTAGCAACATTCAGAGTCAATTATACCATTACCGATTCAATTTTTGGTGATTTTCACTCATATGCGTCACTTGCTCATCAAAAAATTTCGCTGCGCTCAGCGAATCGGTTAATTTATCTTCCACTTCAAATAGCTCATCCTGACAGTTCTTCAGCGATATTTTCAAGTTAAAAATTTCGGAATTATCTTCGCTCGAATCGCCCGCCACGTACGCCTCGATGTCGACGAGCAATTTCCGAATAGACAAATACTTTAATTCCGACCTTTTGAGATGTTTAATAGTCTTCTGCAACTGTTGCTCGACTATTTCTCTCTCTCCGCAAAACGATTCTATTTTCTGCTTACACAAGATATTGTTATCTTGGAATAGTTCCAATTGCATGCTTTGCTCTTCTAAATCGGTGGTAAGTTGTTGTACCATGTCGGATTGTTCTTTCAATTCTGCCATTGTCGTTTGCAAGGTCTCCTCTTGAGTTGAATATCTGATTTCGATTTCGAGAATTTTACTTTGCAAATTTAAATTGTCTTCTGACAATTTGGCGTATTTTTGGTCTAGCGCGTTCAAATCGTTTTGTAGTGCGGACTTATCTTTTCCTAATTTATCAATTGTTCCCTTATATTTGTAATCTAGGTAGTGAAGTTTGTTTTGTAGCTCAACGTTGTTTTTTAATAGTTTATCCTTTGCTATCTTTTCAGATTCTAGTTGTTCAGTTGTCACTCTTAAATTTCCATTTGCTTCGTTCAATTTTGTTTGTATTGCAACGCAATCTTTTTTCAAAAAAATAGTTTCTTGTTCAATTTTTTTCAAAAAAGTAGTTTCTTGTTCAGATAGATTAATTTCATTCTGCAAATGCAGGTGCTGAATATTACCTTTTAACGTCATTATTTCTCGGTTTAACTTCAGACAACATTGGCATATTGTCCGATTTCTTTTGTTTAACCGAATTTCTAATTCTTCTTTCTCAATTAGTGTGGATTCTAGCGCACTGAGCAGCTTATCTTTGTCTTTCTGCAGTTCGTCGCGTTGTGATAGAAACTCACTGCTTTGCAAGGTAACATCATCATATTTACATATAAGCACTTCGCATTTCGCCTGCAATTCAGAAAGCTGTTCTGTACGTTCGTTGGTTAGTGCTTTGTTCTTTCTAAGATTTAGTTTCAATTTAACCAACACACTTTTCAATCTTCGAACCTTTCTCGAATGTACAAGCGGTTGAAATGCTCCAATGTGATTTCTTAAATTGTTGTACTTCATAACAAGATCATTGTTACTTATAACTGTAACAGAAAAAACATTAAACAAAGCATGATCACTGATCAGACTGAAGATCAGATTTAGTTATTGAATAATATATGGTCAATTGCAAACAGTACATTCAAGGAAAACCTTAAGATAAAACAGACATAAACATATAATTTAAATTAAAAGTGATTCTTGTCTTTAGAAACGCCAGGAAAATTTTTTTCAGTGATGAAATCTATGAGCAAACGGCCTCTCCCATAAAATTTGCACGTTATAGCCTTCAAATAAATTTTTAAAAATGGGCTGGTGTGAATAATAGACTCAAAACTCAGTGGACGAGCGTTTTGGTCTAAAATAGCCGCAACAATACCTAATGAAATGTTGAGTAAGTAAATACTCAATGACTACACAAACTTTGTTTAGTTTAAATAAAAACCGGGACAGCGCGTACGCAGTCCCGACTACCAAAAATTACGCGCCCGAGTTATCCACATTAGGGATAATCGCAGGAGTCAGCCCGATCGTAGTGCAATGAGGGGGCCTCATCCTGGGGGAACCGCCTTATTGATCACGGTAACCCCTACGCCAGGTAAGTATGCTCTATCGGCATCTTGCTCAATGTCATATTCAATAGGCAACGGAATATCAAGTGTCTAAATTGTTAGTGGCGCCAGTATCCGTTAAATCCCTTAACCATTTTAAAGTGTGATCTATCGGTTGTCTGATGCTATCTTTGATAATCAATCGTAAATTACAGTCTTCTTTTGTTTATTATGAATAAGCAAAGAGTCTAAAACAGAGTTGAATTTTGAGAACAATTAGGAACTCATCCAATCGTAAAAATAGAATGAATTTCTACACGATCGATTATTACATTGAAATCTACACAAACAAAAGACTTTAGAAAGATCTTTGCGCAGATGTTTACGTTCAGAGACCTATTGCTAGATGTCATACTGTTATTGTAATTTGTGAGCTTCTCAGGATCTGCTATAATTAGTGGAGTTCTATAACAAAAAAAATATGTTATGACATAGGGAGTTTTGGAAAACGCAGAAAATGGGTGTTGGCAAAACAAAAACCCAATTTTCTATCAACAGTATCCTGTCCCTAAATAAAAAACCGTTGCACATAAAGGTGCTACAGAAAAATTCGCGCGCACTGTAATGTAAGGGTGGATAATTTGATTTAACGAGTGGTGGCGCCACTAGTAATCGGGCAACTTGAGTTCTGCCAAATGTTAAAACCATATTAACGAAAATACATACAAAACTACCCATTGCC